TGAGCTCCTTAACCGTATCATCTTTATATCTACAGTTCCTAGCACATAGTTAACTGCTTAATAAATGCATATTGACACGTTGTTGACTTGTTCACACTGGAATAAGAGGCTGTATATCAATCTCCTAACAAACCACAGCCTTGAAGTCTGGAAAAATAGTCTAAGGGGAAGAATAGACAGTATATGAACTCATAACCAGATAGATAAAGCCAAATTAGGAAGTGACTGGCTGGACTCATTCTGTGACTGTGGTGGCATTCTAGTACCAGGAGACATTAGGGAATTCAAACAACATTAGTTAAAAAGACTAGAGTTTTGGAAACTCAGGTTGCTTCAGAAAATTGGCCAGTTCCTGGGCAATCAGGCATTTTGATTTCCTAATCTTATTCAGATGTCCCCAACACCAGTTCCACCAACACCAACACCCACTCAGCCCTGAATCCACTCTCTAACAGCTGGTCTTTTAAGTCCTAGTCTTTTAGACCTGTATAGTACAGTCCTTGCCCTTCCAACACCAACCCCCCCCATCACCTCAACAAGAGGAGGCCTAGGTTTGGGATTCATGGGATTCAAATATGAAGTTGCTCTCTTCCTAACTTAGACTCTGTCCCTTCAGTCCCTGGAGGCAATTGTTCTTCTCTCTGCCTGAGAGGTCACTGGCACATGTCAACTCAGCATTAGGATGAATTTTCTCATCTACAGTACTACCTGATCCACAGGTCTCTCTAATTGGGGTGCTCAATATCTGTTCCTGATCACTTCAATTTAATTCAGCAAATTTGAAATGAATTAAATGCCTACTATAAGCAAGATTCTGTGGTGGGCCTGGTGATATAAAGATAAATTATCAAATAATCCCTGCACTTACATGGGGTCTGGAGGGTACAGAGATATAATACAGATAATAGTATTAACTAATATGTTATTTGAACCTAGATTTTTCCTGGCTCCAAATCCAATACTCTCCCACAGTAAGATTCTGCCTCTCCTACGAAGCTGAAGAGGGAGAGAGCATTAACAACCCAGGATAAAGGATGGGGGAGAGATTAAGGCTTTCTAAAGGAAGTAATACCTGAACTGAGTCTTGACTTTGGCATCCATTCACTTTGGCCAGTAGTGGCATGCTGGCTATCCCTCCTCCCCAGACGTCACTAACATCTCTGGATCAACTGAGAATTGACACAGCACTCTGGCAAGCTTCATTCTGTTGCCCTGCATAGACTGTAACCCTTGGTTTTCACCAGCAATGGAAACTATGCTCCAATCAACCAAATTAATTTGCCATAGTACTGCTATGATAAATCAAACCTATAAAGCCTCATTTGGACCAGTTAATTCAGGAAGAGAGCACTCTGACCTAATGAAACCAATGCTGTGGGTTCAGTTCCTGTAAGGTCCATTTAGTTTGCATAGAGAAAGCCTTTATTCCATAGACTTTAACAGTCTCTTAGAGAGCCAGCCATCTCACAAATACATGCTACTGGGAAAAAAGAAACCACAGAGGATCTAAGGTTACCCATTACTACTGCTACCAAAAACACAAACAAACAAAAAAGAAAAAAAACAAAGTATATGTTCTTTGTGCTTTAGCATCTCAGTGCTTAAGAAAGGAATCTAGCCCCTAAACCCCACAATATCTTGAGAGATTTCAGTGAACAAAATGTGCTTTCCTTTGGGCAGGGCACCTGAAGGTAAGGGTATGACACCCTATGTGGACAAAGGGAGGGAAGGAAGGAAGGAAGGAAGGAAGGAAGGAAGGAAGGAAGGAAGGAAGGAAGGAAGGAAGGAAGGAAGGAAGGAAGGAAGGAAGGAAGGAAGGAGCGAGCTGTGTTGTCCAACTGGAACTGGCCAGTTGGGTCCCGAATGGGGCAGCTACAGATTGTTGTTTGTTCTTCATTCTCAATGAAGACCACGACATCAGGAAGGTGATGCCATGACTTGCAAGTGAACTGGATTTATGTGAAAGAGGGCTGTACTGGACGACTGGAGATGGCCCCAGTGCAGTGGGAGACCTCAGCCTTTTTAAGTTAATGTCTTTCCCAGGTCTCAGTTTGACTGAGGCAATGCCCATTCAGTGATTAAAGCTAGGTAAGAAATGTGGCAAAGAATGGCCTCCTTTACCTAGTCCAGGGGTGGGGAACCTGCAGCCTCAAGGGGCAAGTTTCCCACCTTTGACCTAGTAAAAAAAAAATAGTCTGGAAGGGGAAGACTCTCAGGGTTTCTAGCTAAAACAGAATCAATTGCTATTTATACTCACTTTGAGCCATTAGGGCCCAAACAATGACCCAAGTGAGGCTTGGCCTGGGACCTGATGTTGGCCATCAATGACAACCAGAGTGATCTGGGTGTAAAGCATAAGTGAAATATTAATATAAATAAATATGTTCTTGCATTTCAAAACATTAAAATAACAAACTAAAACCTCTTTATATACCTATAAATGAAGATATGCAGATGGTCTATTTTTCTTTAAATACATTGCAGGATTGCTCCTCATCATCAGAAGCCATATAGTTTAGATGATAGAGCATTTCAATCAGACATCAAAATATTGGGGGATGACCATCCAACAAGTATTTCTTCAGCATGAAGGAGGGGCAGCAAAGTACAGCAGATAGAAAGCAGACAGACTCCAAGCTGGGCTTGAAGTTAGGAAGATCTCCCTCTGACACATACTAGTTACTTAACTCCTCCAAGCCTCAGGCAACTCTCTTAAGACTACAAGCCTTACACACTTGTATTGTGCTTGGGGTCTCCTGAAGCAAATCACAAGTTCTTGAGTTACTAAGTCCCTAGCACTCTGCTGAGGGGTGCTTTAAAAAGATGTCTAAGATGGTGTCTGCTTCCTAGTAGTTTAAATTCAAGTTGGGGAAAATAAGGTATACAAATGAAAGATTTAAATAAAAATACAAGGCATTAAATGATTACCTGACAAACATAGGAAGTACTTAATAGAAATGTGTTGAATTCACAGGGTAAGATGGTGAATTTAGGACCTCTTATGCACCTTCCAGCCTTGAGACTTTGGAAGAAAGGAATAGAGGAAGGAAGGAACAAAGGAAGGGAGGAAGAAAGGGAGAGAGGAAAGGAACTTTTAACCATACAAACACACATGCCTATTTGGCATGATCAGCATTTCTGTGTATTTGTTCCCAGCCCTTCAGTGACCCAACTGGCTCTGTTTCCTTTTGCTCAGGTTAAAGTTGGAAGCAGTGCAATGAGCTGAGTATAAAAGGCACTGGACCCAGAGGAGTAGGACTGGGTCTGAATGGCCCTGTGTGACCTTGGGCAAATCATTTCTCTGAGCTTCTGTTTCCACGTCTATAAAAAGAGGGGACTGGAGTAAATGATCTCTAATATCTTCTCCAGCTTTTTTTTAAAAATAGCTTATGAAAGCCCTAAAAATAACTTCCACAAAATAATTATAAACATTTCAAATGAAAGGTGTGGAAATTTACAAATATTTAATATTTTGATTGAGGAATGGCTTTTATCCAAACTGCTTTTGATTTGTGAAATGTAAGTCTACATCAGTCTTCTTATTACAGTATAGGTCAACAGTTCCTACAGGTCAAGCGGAATTGTGATTAGGGTAAAAACCTTCAAAGATTGTCAAGCCTTTTGAGGAGAAGAAGTTTGTCATTTAGTACTCTGGCAGTGGTCATGTGAGGTCTGGCATCTTTTGTATTAAATGTAGGAAAAGGACATAGGAAAAATGCACCCTTAGATATCCTGGTAGAGGGGATAAAGTATTTGCTTACACACATACCCCATTATCTCCATCATTAAAGCCTGGGGAATTAAGACTAGGTTATATCTAGAGGCTGGTGACTTTTTTCAGATAAGATTGAATGTGAGGTCTTACCCTCTCAAGATCATTAAAATCACATGATGTTCTTCTAAGAGTAGAATACTGCCCTTGCTGGCCTAGGCTCCAACCTGTCTAAACATTCTGCATTTCCAAAAGAAACAAAATTTCTAGGATACAAAATTCTTTGTCTGCCTCTTCTGGGTCCTATTAGCTTGTCTGCAAATTCTCTGAGCTGTTGCTGTACATCAGTCTGAATTTAAATAGTGGTTGAAGTGGTCCTTGATTATCAGTTTAAAATATTTGCCAAGTGCTGTAAGGTCTCCCACAATGAAAATTATTAATGTGCAATTTAATCATTCAAATACAAGTATTTTACCTTAAAAAAATGAGCTTAGACAATCCTTAGGGTTAAAAAAAAACATTCCAATCAAAATCACAGGATTCTGAAAGAGCTTCAGACTAAATGGTTAGGTTTGGAAAGGGGGGTGGGGTGGGTTGAAGGTTTATTTTTTCTGGAAGAGGCAGATTTAATAAGAAGTCCTGAACCTGTCAATGCCAGTTGGCACTTATGTTCAACGATTCCAGAAAAAAATAGAACCATGAGTATATTGCCCTGGGGCAGTTCTATCACTTACTATCACACAGAGGGCCATTATTGGGAAAAAAAAATGAACAAATTCCAAAACAGTACAAATAATGGATGTGTCACCTCCTATAAGGAAGGGGGGAGGGTAGAAAGAGGTGCCTGTTGTGGTGTGCCTCAGAATGAGTGCCTGCTCAGAGGACGAGTGTATAAGGCAATTTTTATAGTTCCTGAGAGAACTGCTTGGTATTTTTCTTTTAAAAGAGTATTTTTATACATTATCTCATCTTGCTTAACTATATCTTTCAGAAGTAGGTAGGAGCAAGAAACATTATCCCCATCTTGTAGCCAGAGAAATGGTGATTCAGAGAGGTTGTGACTAGCAGGACATCACAGAGTAAATCAATGGTAGATGAGAGATAACAACCCAAATCTCCTGGCTCCTCCTTCAGTCCTTTTTTTTTCCATTAGATCAAAGCCTTTCAAACTTTTTGATCTTGTAGTCTTATCAAAGGATTTAGAGTTGGACAGGCCATTAACAAACATGTGGGATGACCTCTTTTGACAGATAAGGAAACAGAGATGTAAAGTGGTTAAATGACTTACCCAAGGTCAAAAAGGCAACAAGTGCTGACCCAAGATTCAGACCCAAGTCCTCTGGCTCTCAGTCCAAGCCTCTACCAGGAGATGCTGCCAACCTTCACGGGTGAGGCTGGAGGTGGGGTGGAGAAAAATGATGCAGGGACAAGGAGCCTTCATCACCCAGTAAACTTGTACTGTTCTCTTTCTGGAGAAGTCTTCCATTACATGTGGGAAGAAGCTAATACATTGCTACAGGGATATAACTTGGAAGTAAAAAAGAAGGGAAGGATTTAGATTAGGAAATACCATCTTGGAAGAAAATTAAACCATGAACAAATTCTATACTTTTTCAAAACGACTAAACCTAGGACCACTTATGAAAGGCCCTAGGTTTCCGGAGAATACTCTTTTTCCCCTTAACCAGCATGAGGATACTGTACATAAAAAATTATTTTTATTAGAGTATTCCCTCAGCTGCCCCCAAAGAGCCATTTTCATTCATTTTTATAAATTCTCCTTTAAAATAATTCTCTGCACGTCTATTGGCTTGAAATCTGACGTAGTGTTAGGGCTAGTCCTTAGGGCTTAGGGTTTTACTCACTCCACCCCCACCCCACCTCCAACAGCAGGCCCTCTAGCAGGTTTGTCAAGTACTCTAGTACTGTCTGAAATCCAAAGGGTTTAGCAAGACAAAGATTTTCTGAAGAATGAATACGTCATCTATCGCTGGTATCTGGCTCCAGGAGATGCTTCCAGGTCTCCCTGTCATAAGTACCTATGCTAAAGGCGGGCTGTGCCACCTGCCCTCCATCCACTGCAGTGCAGACACTCATTTAAAAATTCATGGTAATTGCATTTGGAAGCATGGCCTATGCAGCAGCAGCTGGACAAACAGCTGGAAAAGCCAGGATTAGAAAAACACACATACACTATTTAGAATCATCTTTCTTTGAAAACAATATTCTTCAGTGTCTCTTGGTAAAACAAGGCAAAATTAACAACAAATAAAGGAGAAAAGAAAGATAAAAGGTGACTTAATGTTCTCTTCACTTTGCTCCTCATTCCTTCCCAGTGTTCATTTAATATAGACTGAAAGGTGATTTTCCTAAAGCACAAGTCTTATCATGTCCACCACCACCCCCTACTCAATAACCTCCAACAATTCCACATTTACTTCTAGGAGCAAATACAAACCCCTCTGTTTGGCATTTAAAGTTATTCACAACCTGTTCCCTTCTTACTTTGCTGTTCTTCTTGCATACTATTTTCTACTCACCATGTATTCTACAGTCTAGTCATACTGACCCACTACTTGCTATTCCACACACATGACCTCCATATTCCACCCCTGTGCCTTTGCATTGACTGTACTCCTTTTCCTGGAATGGATTCCCTACTCACCACCCTTCTTGGAATCCCTGGTTCCCTGCAAGCTCCAGTCTGCTCTGCTTGGTGCCAGCCCACGTGAATTCTTAGAGATCCTGCTTCCAGGAATGTGTGATGGTGTGCAATGGGAGGGGAACCCTGACCCTGATTCAGAGTATGCACTTATTCTGTGACTGTTTCCTGTCCAGTGACTGCATGGGAGTGGAGAAGAGGAAGCCTTCTAGAGGGCTGATGAGAAAGACTTCAGTGGGTACACAAAGGCTTCCACTTTCTTCCTGGTAGGGACTCTCTAGACTTCTTTCTCTGCCATGATGTGGCAGCCTTCTCACCCTGGAACTCCACTCAACCTCTGTAGCCCCTTCTGATTAGTCACTCCTCCCAGAATATCCATTTTAAGTAAAGTGCTCAGGATAGCCATGTTCACTCCTTCTTTCCTCCGTAAGTTTTGCTCCTGACTTTCCATATTTCTTTCTCCACCATGGCCCCTCCTTCTTCCCTCCTTCACTTTTAAGTTTCCCTTTATGTGTTGTCTTCTCCCATTAGAATGTAAGTGCCTTGAGGGCAAGGGACTTGCTGCCTTTCTTTTTATTTCTTTATTCCCAGCACTTAGCACAGTTCCTGGCATATAGTAAGCACTTAATAAATGCTTCTTGACTTGACTTGGCTTGGTGAAAGAGTATTGTTAAGTTTCTGGTTTGGGGTAGGGACGAATTTTAATAACTTATCTTCCTAACCTCAATACCAGGGTAGACTATAAACATAAGGCCCTGTTATTTCTTCTGTCCCCATTATGTTTATTCTTTCCTAGTCTTAGATGAAGGAGTTCTTGCTCCTTCCTCATTTTTTAAGATGAACAATGACATCACAGAATGATGTCTTGACTTTTGAGTGGATTGAAATCAAGTGAGGTAGAGTTGCACAAAGGTCAATCTCACTCTCTTTTCTAGAGTCATCAAAGTCCAGTGACAAGACAAAATAGCAAGACACTGGTGATGGCCCAAGGGTACAGTGGAAGACCCTGGGGTCTTCAATGTCTGACCAAACTCTAAGCACTCCATAGCTCCTACCTCTGCTGCCTTCATGGCCATTAGAACAAATTGTTCTACTGGGAGAAGCCTTCACATACTTGGGGTACACAGTCCCCTAACTCACCAATGGGTTTGAGGCCTGTCAGTTACCTTCAACTGGAAATAGAACAGCCTTGTGAGCTTAGGAAAGTCAGAAAGAGGGCGAGGAAAGGTGGAAAAAATGCCACCAGAGGCCTAGAGATCGAAATCTGTCACTTTTCTACTTTGCCAAAACCTTTGACTTCTTCAGTAGATCCTTTCTCACTTTCAGATACAACTTAAAATACTTAGTTGTAAGTTCTTTTTTCATTCAGTGCAAAATCATGTTCATTAAATAAGGAGTATCTTTCCTTTTCAAGAAAGTTATTAGAGAGGTTAAATTAGGCAAATGCCATTGATATCATACAACTAAATTTCAGTGACAAAATCGAAAAAAATTTTTCTTATTATAATCTTGTAGACAAAATGGAAGTCTTTAGGCTTGGTGACATTCAGTTAAGTAGATTTGACTCTGATTGACTTACTTAACTCAATGAGTAGTAATGTAGATGGAAGAAGGTTCAAGGAGGCCATGATATCTGTCTTGAAGTTTTGAAGGGATTATATGTGGAAAAGGAGCTAGCTTCATTCTTTTTTACTCCAGGAACAACAGGTGCATATCACAGAAGGACAAATCTCTGCTTGATGTATGGGAAAAACTTCCTAACAATTAGAATTATCCAAGAATATAATGAGTTGTCTTGGAAGATGAGGAGGCCTTACCTTCTGACAAAGGCTTTCAAATAACAAGTCATCGTATATCTTCCAGAGGAAATTCTTCTTCAGGTAGGCTTTGGACAGGTTGACCTCTGAGATCCCCTCCAACTGTGACTTCTTTGGTTATAAAAACAGCAGCATTCCCCATCCCCCCAAAAAATTACATGATGGCAAATAGTTAAATGAAAACTAATGCTTTTTTAAAAATATGACAACAGGACAGAGTTCTTTGCCAAAGACTAATACTAATCCATATTTCAGTTAGCATTGTAATTACATCATTGTCCTCATTACAAAGTCTTTAACCTCATGGAACCATTTTGTTCATCTGTAAAATGAGAGGTTTGTATGATCTATGAGGCCCCTTTAAACTCCAATATCCTATAGTTCTAATCCGTGTTCTTGCTCCCCATTCTTTGAAAAGCATTTGTTTTTTATCACCATCTGAAAACTTAATTTAGATATGTATAGCTAGCCATACTTAGGCAAACATCTAAAGAAAAGAAGTTATAATTGTGATCAACAAGGTATTCGTGCATTGGCAGATTAGGCAGATGATTTGAATACTTACTCTCTCTGGTTTGACATGGTATTATCTTCCTTTGCTACCCGGTCTGGAGTTCTCTGCTAGAGTCACTCCCCATTAGGCTACACAACATAGGCAATGGCATAAGAACAATAATGATGATAATGATAACAATAACATATTAATTATATAATATAATGCATTATAATAATTAAATTACAAAATATATGTTATATATATAAAATATATGTTATATATAATATGTTATAAATGTAACATATGTTTATAAATTACCTTGCGTAATAAAATGTTGGTATATTATTTACTAATATATAATATACCCATATTCATAATAATGTATATATGTCACTTTAAAGTTTACAAAGTGCCTTAAATGTGTGATCGCTTTCAATCTTCTAAACAAACTTATAAGACCTTTGTGATTATTATCCCCTTTTCACAGATGAGGAAACTGAAGCCAAAAGAGGTTAAGTGACTTGCCTAAGGTCACAAAGCCAGTAAACGTCAGAGGCAGTATCTGAATTCAGGTGTTCCTGACTTCTAGTCCATCACTCTGTGGACCACCTTGCTGCCTATATCTATATAACACAAGTATTCAAGGCACATTTTAGTTGTGGGGTGAGGGTGGAGAGGAGAGGGGAAGGAGGACAGTGTGACATGGTAGCATGAGATGCTAACCAGAAATGGCAAGCCCTAGTGAGTAAGTAACCACCACTTGGGCAACATGAAGAAATCAGACCAGAGAAAGCAGATACCAAACAATGAGGCAGACAGGGCAAGACTAAGGAAGAGATATGACAGTGACAAAAAGGACTCCAAAGATAAAACTTTGTCTCCTTCACAATTCCTGCCCAGGTGATCTACTCTGAAGTAAAAGTAAGCACCTCATTGTCCTTACAAATAGCACCAACCCAAGCAAGAACCTATTCCAGAGTGGAAGGCTCCATGTTCATTGAATTAGTTCAAATGTCTCAAGAATGACACAGGCATTTGGGCTCTGCTTCTCACCTTTTCCCACGCCAGTTTCTGGTGACTATAATGACTGAGACCATAGAATTAGGTCATGTCAAGCCTTCCCTTAGCCACCATCCAAAGACATACACTCTCTCTCCCCTACACAAAAGAAATCTCCTATTATTCATTGCTCAAAATAGAATATCCCTATTTCAAGTAGTGGGTCACAAGATGAAACACAATCACTGTGAGCAGTGTGGCTTGAGAAAGGGCTTGGTTAAAAATTGACCTCAACTTTATTGCACCCAACTGTGCTCCACAGTGACTTGTGAAGAAATGCACCTGACATCCTCTCTGCTCATTTTCCAGGAGTTCATTGGTCTCTATCTCATGTTCATAATACAGATAATAAAGTGACAGATATGGCTAATTGGATCAAAAATAAAACCTGAACTCATTTTTCAACCAACAATAGCTAAACATAACCAAAAAAGACTGTGATTGTAATAATGAGAAACATTCTGCCCCTGAATACGATTTCTTACATCCTGTGCTATAACCACTTTTTTTTTCCACCAGTAGCTAATACCTAAATTAGCAGTGGCCCAGGCTCCAATTACACAGTAGCTCACATTTGCACTTTTTTATTTTCAGAGTAGTTATAAGGAGATAGAACTGAAAATGAATATATAACTAGTAAAGAACACAGGAATAGAAAATGAAAAGCAAATGATCTAGAAATATATTCAGAGAATTTTAAAACTAGAAGGGACTGAAGAGATAATTGAATCCAAGTCCCTCCATTTACACATAAAGAAACTAAGGCCAAGAAACGTAAAGTGACTTGTCAAATAAGAGCTATCCCAAAATGGAAAGGGCTGCATGCAGAGGTAGTGAGTGAACTTCCTCCCACTAGTGGTCTTCAAGCAAAGGCTAGATGACCTCTTCATAGATACATTATAGCGGGAATTCTTATTCAGGAACAGACTGGACTCAGCCTCTGAGGTCCCCTCTATCTCTGAGATTCTGTGATCCTTCCTACGGCAGAATGACCTCTGCTCAACATTCTGAACAAACGTTATCTGTGATCCCTGGCTACTGGAGAAAAGAACTGAGAGAAGGTGGCTTCTAAAGGCAGGGCTTCTGAGGATTAGTGATGTTCCACTATATCCCTTTAGGGAAAGAAAAAATGTGAACTACTCCGTGGCAAATCATGAATGTCCTCTGAATATTATCCAATTTTCACTTTAATTTATTACATTCCATACCACAATATAATTCCAGCATCAGATAACGACTGAAGTACTTGAAATACTTATCCTTGGTTCCATGATTAAAAAAAATAGGATCAACTGAGGAAAACAATAAATAAATTCATTGGCTCATCCTATGATGCATGATGTAGAAGTAAAAAACAATAATAATAATAATGAAATGAATGCCTCTTAAGCCACATTAATAAAAACATAGTACCCCAAACTGAGGAATGTAGATTCCCACCATTCTCTATTCTGGTTAGACCACATCTCATTTGGAGTTTATGTTCCACTAGGGGCACCACATTTTAGAATCAAGTCCAGAGAAGAGGAGGGTGAGAGGACTCAAGACCACACATCACATAAAAATCATTCAAAGAAGCCAGTGACATTTTGCCTAGAGAAAAGTGGACTTAGTTGGTATAGGGTTGGGGAGAGAGAGAGAAGGGGTTCGATGTTGTTTTGTTTGTTCAGATATTTCAGTCTTGTCCAACTCTCTGTGACCCCATTTGGGGTTTTCTTGGTAAAGATGCTGGAGTGCTTTGCCATTTCCTGCTCCAGCTCATTTTATAGATGAGGAATTGAGGCAAACAAGGTGAAGTGACTTGCCCAGGGTTATATAGCTAGTAAGTGTCTGAGGCCAGATTTGAACTCAGGGAGATTTGTTTTCCTGGTTCCCAACCCAGTGCTCTGTCCACTATGCCATCTACCTGCCCCAAGGGGATTGACAGCTGATTTCAAGTATTTGAAGGATTCTCACACAGATGTAGAATTAAACTCATTTATCTTGGCTCCAGGGGGAGGGCGGTGAAAATTGAAGAAAGGTAGATTTCATTCATTATCAGGATAACCTCCATAATTAGAGTTGTCTTAAAATGGAATGTGTTTTTTTTATCAGTTAATTCCCCATAACTTCTAGTGGAGATCAGATGAGCAGTTGTCAGGGATATCAGAGAGTTCTGTTAGGACAGAATATGGTGACCTCTGAGTCCCCCACCAAGTCTAAGAAGCTACATGATAGCTTCATTATACTGTTGCCAGAGTATATTACAGACCGCCTGGTCAGGTAGAAAATATATGGCACAGATCACAAAGCACGCACAGAAGTAGGATGCTTTGGGCTCAGGGACTTCCAACTATTCAGAGAGCAGCTGGAGATCTCTGTGATGCAAGCAGGCACACAGATCAATTATTGACTTGCCTTTCCAACAATTTCATCATTCTGAAGGCATGAGAAGCAATAAAAGAAACTACTATCTTGAAACTCATAGGAAGAGAAAAACTAAAATAAAGTGGCAGGAACCTTGAGAGAAAGTAATCATATCATCTTAAGAGTCTGACAACAAGGAGAGGTCTGACCTGTGCCCTAGACTTTAGGGGAGTGGATTTCAAAGTTCAGAAAAAGGATAGACATGAACTCACAGCTTGAAAAGGGAAGTCAGCACAAGTGGAATGGAAGACTTTGATTTTTAAAAAATTCTGATGTACAATTAAAAATTATTCTGATGAAAAAAGGGGGAAGACATAAAGAAACCCATGAAGTTACATAATGATCTCTATGATGAGCTCAGATTTTAAATGGATATATACATGTACATGAAACCAAGAGCATGTGATGAATAAATAAGAGAGTCAAAAAGTTTTTCATTTTTTTTTTTAATTATGGAAGGTCAAAAGAATAACAAGACAGAGATATACTCACTGCTTTAGGTGGAAAAAGCAAATGGAAATACCTTGGCTATGATCTTACTTCTATTTTCTCTAAAAAGAATACTTCTCCACTAAGCGAAAGGTTAAGAAGGATTTGACACCCAGGTTAAGTAAAGAGAACTCCTAGATGGCCTTAATGAGTTCAAGTCAGCTGGCCCAGACAAATCATGTCCCAAAGGGGGAAAAATGCCAAATGTGATTACTAACCACTGCTAGAGTGATCTTTGAAGAACCTGGAAAACAAGAAAGGTACCACAGAACTAGGGATAAGTAAAGGTTGCCCCAGTTTTCGAAAGGGGAAGATAAGCAATCCCACAAACTACAGAACTGTCAAAATAAGAGGAGGTATTATATTATTATTATTATTATTATTATTATTTGGTTAGGCAATGGGGTTATGTGACTTGCCCAGGGTTCACACAGCTAGTAAGTGTTGTGTGTCTGAGGCTGGATTTGAACTCAGCTCCTCCTGAATCCAAGGCCGATGCTCTATCCACTGCACCACCTAGCTGCCCCAAGAGGAGGTATTATTAAAGGGACAGTTTATGAGCACTTAGAAAGAGAAGTAGTGATCTCTATGTATTATGTCACTAAATGCAATGAAGTAGTCATACTAGACTAATTACTTTTCCTTTTTTTTTTTGACAAGGTTACTAGATCAGATAATACCATATAGTATATGGTACACATAGTATGCCAAGATTTCAGCAACACATTTTACAAAGCTCCTATGGCTAAGAGAAAAAAGTAAGACTGTGATAAGGAAGCGGAGAGAAAGTATTAAAAGGAATTTTAAGGTCAAAGTAGTAAGGGATGTGAATAGAAGTGGGAGATTGGCTACATTATCATCACATGCCACCATCAATACTACTCTTCCTGGACCTTTGAGTCCAAAGGTATTTCTTCATGACATAAACCAGAGAGAACACTAGAGGAAGCCAAGATAAATAATCAGGAATGAGAGTTTGGGTAAAGTGAAGGTTGAGGGCAGGGGGAGAATCCTCTCAGTAGACTTGAAATAGACAAATGGAATTCTATAATGAGGCTAAGTGAACAGAATAGTAGTTCTAGTGGATGAAATAATTTCATCTAACCCAGTTTCCCAACCCTACCTTGATTTTTGTTTCCAGTCCACCGTTCCCGTTCTTTCTGGCTATTTGTCACAAAGAAAAAATGGAGACAGACCTCTGGCTAGAAAAGAAAGTCAGCAGCCGGTTCCCCTGCTCTCCACTCCTGTGAGATGACATATGTTCATATTGACTCTCATACATTTTATTCACTACCATTCTGAGCCATCTCTACCTCCCTGCTTTCCTCCTCCAGTTCCTCTCTGACCCTTTGCCTGTACCTGCCCTAAAACACACACACACAGGTCAGATCCCATTTCATAAGAAAACAGGAAAAAGAACTCCCTGTTTTGTTGTTGTCTGTCAGCGGCGGAGAAGCCTACTGATAATATTAACAAAAATAGACAATAACCAGCCATCTTTTGTAAAATGGAAAATTAACCACTGATATTTACTATGACGGGTAAAACACCTTTCCACGAAAGCAAGTTAGGAACTGATTGCTAGCAAGGGAAAAAACATAATCTGATATAGTCTGAATGAGAATAATTACGAAGTTCTAACCTATTGGTTTATCTACTATATGTTGTATCCTACATTATCACTTCTAAAGTATTTATACACATAACCACATTTCAGAAATTTTTAAAAGGACAGTCTCCTGTTTTATAACACTACTTCCAAAAAACAATCATAGACAAAATAGGATATACATGCACACCTCTGTCTCACCACAAAATACACACAAACCCAATATTTTTAAAGTGTAGAAGCAGCTCCCCTACCCCACAGCAGAGTCAAAGTAGTAAGGAACAGAGTCTTGCACGTAATAAATGGCTCTGATTGACACCTTAGTCTTGTGGCCTTATGTGTGTTGTCATTTTTTGCATAACATAGTGGAAAGAGCGCTGGACTTGGAATCAAGAGCATGTGGCTCCTACTCTGACCCTAACACTTACTAGCAGTGTGACCCTGGGCATGCCACTTTTCTCAACTGTAAAATGGAGAGAAAACAAACTACTTACCTCACAGATTTTTTTCTGAGGCTCAAATGAGTTAATGTGAGCTGGGAAGTTCACGTTTAGATTTATTTTATGTTCTCAGACTTCATAATTATATCAAGTTATTATCCTTACTCGTAGACCTTTTAAGTGCTACAGAAATGTGGAATGCAGGTGGCAAGCTCCAATCTTGGTCACTCTAGTGTCCTTGAGGCTGACCCTTCTTCAATTAATCATTTTGAAGGAAAGCTCTCTATTGCAGATGGCAGCATTTACCATTGCTGTGGGATAACCAGGCTGTTTCCTTCTGTATATCTATGCTAAATTACTATTTTGCATAAATAAATTAATAGAGTTCTGTGTTAAGAATTGAGAAAGAATGGCTAAATAGAAGCTCCTTAATGGTTAGGATACCATCTGAAGAATAAATGAAAAGCAACTCCCAGGCCTCCAGATGGGAGGTAAAGGGCAGTTTATTTTGGGGATGAGGGGAGAATAGAAAGAAAGGAATGAATGACAACAGTTCTGCAGGAAATGAGTGAACATAAGAGACTGGGGCTGGGTGAACTACGTTGCCCACCCCCAAGACAAAGGTGGTTTCAGGCAAAACAAAGAAGGATGACTGCTTATTTAGGGTGACCTGGAAGCATCAGTAAATAGAAGTTAGGTAGAACTTAAAATTTACATATATACATAAACATATATATTACACATATACACACACATACATACATACATATATAGATACAAACTCTTTAGATAGGTATAGAGAGAAGAAATCAATGAATCTAGGGACTGGACAGATTCATGTAACTGAATACCCAGAACAGAGAAGGTCACTAAGGAAGACATCTCCTAAACTGGGCTGTGTATACATCTCTGCAATGACTTTATCTGTATACAGTTTGTACCCAGGCACAACCTCACCCCGTAGGAAATTAGTTCATGCTATTCTCAGGATGACTGGCCTAGGAGTGCATTGCTGTGAATAGCCACACAGAGGAGTTGAGGATGCAAGGGAGAGTCGTTGCTGAGGCTATAATCACAGAAAGAGCTCCAAGCTCCTTGAAGGTAGCTGTGAAGGTACGCAGTCTTTTGTTTTGTAATAGATACTTAAATGGATCTGCAATGTCATCAAAGAGAGACAGAGAGATGGAAAGAGAGGATGTGACCAGACATCAGCAGCTAGGTTGTGCAGTGGACAGAGTGTAGGGCCTAAAGACATGAGTTCAAATTTGGCCTGATATACTTACCAGCTTTGTGACCCTGTGCAAATCTTAAACTCTCTCTCATCTTTAAAATGAGGATAATAATAACACCTATGCCTTGGGATTGTTGTAAGGCTCAAACATGAATATTAGCAAAGTGCTTAGCATAGTGCCTGGCACATAATGGGTACTTAATAAAAACTTTTTCCCTCTTCTTTTGACATACAATTTTTTTTTTTGGCTAGGCAATGGGGTTAAGTGTCTTGCCTAGTGTTATGCGTCTGAGGCTGGATTTGAACTCAGATCTTCCTGACTCCAGGGACAGTGCTCTATCCACTGTGCCACCAAGCTGCCCAACATACAATTCTTTAATGACTTTGTTTACTCCTATTCGTCTTCAGAGTTCTTCAGAAATCCCAAACTGATGAAAGTCCTAACCACCCCTGCCCCCATCACAAAACATGCAACAAAATCCAATACATTTATTTCCTACTAATTATATATGTTGTGGCCTGCTCACATCTACTGTTCACCTTTCCATTAACCTCAGTGTGTGGTTCTTCATTAATTTTCCAGACGTAGTGGTGGTCTAGGTCTCTGTACACAGCAATAGTGGTAAAATGTTTGTATTGAAAAGACAGGCCTTTGTGATTATGGGAAGTTTGGAGTTGGTTAAAAAAAATGTCTCTGGGCCCCATTCCTTGTCCATCTGTACTGTTTCTTCCAAATTTAAATACTGTTGGAAAGCTATTTAGGGTATTCATTCAGATGCATGCTGAAATCTGGGCAACAAACAATCTTTATCCAGTTAGTCTTTCCTTTTGGATGAACAGGCCAAACTCCTGACGACTCTGCTCAGCTCTGCCTCACTTAAATCAAATTCACTGCCAAGTCAGGACAGCACCCTCATGTCACTGGATCTCTCTGAGAACAAACAATAACCAAACTCCTTTGAATCACCACTGATCTCTTTTAGGAGAGGATGCAATGTCCTAGGGTTTGATGCAAGCAACACAATGTTATCTACAAAGAGAAGTATTTAGAGCAGCCACCAAAAATCCTTCCAAATCTGGCCTCTGCCCTGGACCTCCTCCATTGTGGTGGCAAGTGCTCTTAGTGAGTCTACATCTCCATTTTTTTATACCTTCTGTACCAAGAAATTGCAGTAGCTTCCTATTGCCTCCAGGAGCAAATACAAAATATTTCGGCATTCAAAGCCCTTCAGAACCTAGGTACCTCCTACCTTCTTTTTACACTTGACTCCCCAACATGTATTCTTTAATCCAGTGACACTGGCCTCTTGGCTGTTCTATGAACAAGACACTCCATCTTTTAGCTCTAAGTATTTTCTCTGGCTGTTCTCCATTCCTGGAACACTCTCCCTCCTCATCTCTGTCCTGGCTTCCATTAAGTCCCAACTAAGGGCAGCTAGCTAGGAGGCACAATGGATAGAGTGCCAAGCCTGGAGTCAAGAAGACCTAAGTTCAAATTCAGCCTCAGACTGAATTTGTGACTCTAGGCAAGTCACTTAACCGTGCTTGCCTCAGTTCCTCATCTGTAAAATGAGCTGGAGAAAGAAATGGCAAACCACTCTAGCATCTCTGCCAAGAAAACTCCAAATGGGGTCATGAAGAGTCTGACATAACTGAAGTGACTGAACAACAACAGAATCCTACCTTCTACAAGAAGTATTTTTCAACCCCTCAATTCCAGCGCTTTCTTTCAATTATTTCATATGAATCCTATATCTACCTTGCTTTGTATATATAGGTATACCTCAGAGATATTGTGGGTTCAGTTCCAGACCATCACAATAAAGTAAATATCTCAATAAAGTTAGCTGCACAATCTTCTTTTCTTTCCCAGTGCATATAAAAATTATACTTAGACTATACTGTAGTCTATTAAGTGTGCAATGGCATTATGTCTTAAAAAAAAGCCATACATACCTTAATTAAAAATACTTTATGGCTAAGAAATGCTATCATCTGCCACTACAGCGAGTCATAATCTTTTTGCTGGTGGAGGGTCTTAACTTGATGTTGATGGTGGCTGACTGATCAGGGTGCTTGCTTCTAAAGGCTGGGGAGGCTGCAAGAATTTCTCAAAATAAGACAACAAAAAAGTTTACCACAACTCTTCCTTTCCCTTGAACATTTATGGGCCATTGTAGGATTATTAGCTGGCCTAATTTCAATAGTGTTGTGTCTTAGGGAATAGGGAGGCCTGAGGAGAGGGAGAATGAAAGGGAAGAGCAGGTCAATGTAGCAGTCAGAACACACACAACATCGACAAAGTTCACATTCTAATATGGGTATGGTTTGTGGTGTCTCAAAACAATTACAACAGTACCACAATAATGCAAAAGCTTGAAATGTTACAAGAATGACCAAAATGTGACACAGAGACAGGATGTAAGCACATGCTCTTAGAAAAGTGGCAACTGATAGCTTTGCTCAATGCACAGTTGCCACCAACCATCAATTCATAAAACAAAAACCACAGTCTCTGCAACGCATGATAAAGAGAAGCTCAATAAAAGGAGTTATGCTTGTATTTGTTTTTATGTTGCCTCCCCTATTTGATTTCAAGCTCCTTGAGGGCAGGGACTGTCTTTTGCCTCTTTTTGTATCCCCAGCACTTAGCACAGTGCTTGGCATGTAGCAGATGTTTGATAGATGATTAATGTTTGATTGACTGATGAACCTATAAATATTTTGTATAGACAGGAGAGCAGGCATATAGGTCAATGGTTAATGATCTTTTTTTTTAGAATCAATAAGGTCTGGGATTTTTTTCCCCAAGTCTTTGGTATCATCCCTTCCTTTAGCTACCTTGTGAACTGATCCTCTTTTACTGCTTCCAGCATTAATCTCTTCTATCTATACTTAACTCCATCTGGCTGCTTGTCTTGTCTCTGTTTTCTTTAGTATGATTACTACTTCCTCTATAAACACTTCAGGCACTGTGATACTGGTGTCCACTCGTGTTGGTTCCATTACCCTTCAGGGTGAAAAGAATTTGTGGTAATAATTTTTGCAAACCTTCTCCATTTTTTTGCTGTTTATAGGCTTTGAATGCCTACACGGTATGCATTTGCTTAGTTAAACATCTCGCCAAGCTTTCTCTCTGCTATATGAGAAGATACTGCTCATAATTGTCTATCAATCTTCTTTGTAAGAGTTTACAAATGAGTTAATATTCTAACCTGGTATTGTCTTTCACAACCACCTCTCTCCACTTGCCAAGGAAGTGAACTATTTGTTTGATCAAGGCATATAATGCAATCTTTTGATCTCCTTGTTTTAGCAATTAATCTACATTTTTTTACTTCTAGATGAAATTAGTAGAGTCAGTGATGATGTCATTTATATTGTCCATTTCCCTTTTCAAAAAATTCAATAGTTTTTCAACTAATTCATGTTGAAATCTTTTCAATTAATACCATACATTTTCCCATTATTATTCTTTCTTCCTATTCATTATACATTCTAATCTTAGCTCTGGTAAGTCCACAGTCTGACTGCAGAGACAGCTGACTCAGAGAAAGGGAACAAAGGGAAAGGAACAAGCAATCATTAAGCACCTACAATGTGCCAGTGCACTTTGCTAAACGCTTTACAAATATTATCTCATTTGATATTCACAACAACCCTGGGTGATTGGTGTTATTATTATTCCCATTTTATAGTACAGGAAACTGAGGCAAATAGACATTAAGTGACTTGTCCAGGGTCACACAGCTAATAAGTGTCTGAGGCTGGATTTAAACTCAGGTGTTCCTGACTCCAGGCCTGGCACTTTACCTAACTGCTATCCAGGGATAGCTCCCATGTCCACAATAAGATTTTTCATGTCTGTTAAAATATAGTTGATTTATTCTTTGTAATTTTTTTTTTTGGTGCTCACCATTTTCAGCATCTAATAATTCTTTTTCTGAGGATATAACTGTATAATTTACGCATCTTTGGCCTTTCTCATTTCTCTCTTTGAACTCTACTTTCACATATTTTGCCTCATCTTCATCTTTTCCCACCTTTAAATTGGTGTCACCAAGTATCAGAGTTTATGTTGATTTGATCTGCAAAATCTTATCAAGTTTTTCACAGGATTTCTCTATCCCTTTGTCCTCAACAATTGATTTTGGTGTGTAAGCTGCAATTATTTTCAAGGTGGTCATTTGGCAGACATCATCAATACTGCAATAAGTCACAGACAAATCTCCAATAAAATATTATTTCTGGTAGCTTTGGGAAATATAATAAAACCCACTCCATAACAGTGTGTTTCTTTCCTTCTCTAAGGAGTACCTATAGATTATTCTTCCATTAAGCTGCAACTTCCCACCTTATTTTCATTTCGCTTACACAAAAATATCAAGATTGACGTGATTCAGCTCCTCTAGCAACATATCCACTCATTGGTCACTGGACAAGAATTTCACAATCTGAGTTCTTAAATTGTGATTCTTAGCACCCTCAGCTCCCTTTCCTAATGCTCTGTATCAACGAAGAAGCAGGAGAGGACCACATTGGACTGAAGGCCATTTTTTTATTGCTTCATGTATGGCCCTGGCCAAAAAAATTTCAACACCTAAAAAAGGTTTCAGGTCTGAGAACCCATGAAATCATAACAATGTTAAGTCCATTGGTGTTTGCAATTTGGAAACCTTAATGAGACACAGATCTTTAGAGTATCATGAAATTCAATATGCAAAGTCAAAAAATTCTCCTTAGAACAAAAAGGAGAGGGGAAGGGAGAACCATTCTACATCTCCCTTTTCTCCATTTGGAAAAATGCCTTTGTTAATGCAAAATATTTTGCAATGAGGAAGATAAGATTACTGAGGGATAGAAGATTACTTTTATCTTAATTAGATGAAGGCTATGCATGAGTCAAAAAGAAAAGGAAATATAAGAAGAGAAAGTTTTGTTTTCAGCTACATACCTGTTTTGTTGCTTATAATCTGACAGAAAAGTCCACAAGTCTCCTACTGCTATTTTTTGATATTAATTTTAGTTTGAGCTTTTCTGTCATGCTAACAAGATTTTCCAGAGCTATCCTGTGCTAAAAACTGAAATGGAATCATAAGAGTCTTCTCTTAAGGACTATGTTTTCCTACCTATCTACCTTTTGAATTATCTTCCCCAAAGACTATGCAACAACCATTTTGCACCTTCCCTACAGCTACACTATACTTTATGTGGAAAACAAGTCCACAACCTCTGCAATAAATGAATTAAGGTTGCTTTCTAGCTAAAAAGTGGTTATACTCTGGGAGCAAAGGGTACTTATAGGTGAATTGTATTATTATTATTTTTTTTTTTTTTTTTTAGGCAATTGTGGTTAAGTGACTTGCCCAGGTTCACACAGCTATTAAGTGTCAAGTGTTTGGTCTGAGGTCAGGTTTGAACTCAGGTCCTCCCGACTCCAGGGCTGGTGCTCTATCCACTGTGCCACCTAGCTGCCCCCATAAGTGAATTTTAGATGTTGATTTTTGGCATCTCTGACAAATTTCTCTAATTTCTGTCTACCCCCCTCTACTCCTACAAAAAAAAGCGCAGCAAACTGCTCATAATCTTATTTAGTCCTCACAACCACCCTGTGAGGTAGATACCACATCTATTATTATCCCCATTTTTCAGATTAAAAAACATGAGATGCAGAGAGGTTGTTATGGCTTCATATCAAATAGCTAATAAGAGATAAGAGTTTGAACTCAGTTCAAAACCAAGTCTAGCATTCTTTTCAATTGCATTTATATTAACTTGTCAGCTAGCAAGGGAGACCTAAAGAAAACAGGTTCTTTATGGAAGCTAAGGGGAGTTGCCCTCAATTTCAAGATGGTGAAATAGGCACTGGTTGTCTCGGATATCTCCTCCTCTGTCTCTTTACACCCTCCCTTACTCTTAGCACTCTGTTTTCTTGCTATCTATAGCTTCCCACTGCCACACCCACCTGAGCTGGCCTTCCAGGCAGGGTTCAGAGAGTTCCTGACCTCTTCTCTGCCTCACCGTCCTGCTCAACAATCCTTACTGGACATCTTGCCAACACAGCAGACAATGCGGTGTCTGGCAATAAAAAGTGGTTTATACTTCTACTTGAAAAGGCTTTGAGATGTGCCAATAAATCCCAATGTACTAAATGGGGTCCCTTAATATAAAGCTAGGGTTCACTAAACTCAATTCTCCTTTACCTAAAAGTCACTGAGTGAGTCAATAAGCATTTACTAAACCTCTCTATATGTGCCAGGAATAATAAGAAAGGCAAACAGTCCCTGTTTACAAAGAACCCATAGTCTAATCTTGGAAATAAACATAACTGAACAAATAATATATATATATAGGATTAACTGGAAATAATTGGCAGAGGTAAGGAACTAGTATCAAGGAGAATTGGGAAAAACTTCTTGTTTCTCCAGCACTGAATGCCTGCTAAGGGAAAAAGGTACAGCAAACACAATAATCATTTACCATCCTACATAATCATAATAAGAGGCAGCTGGCTCAGAGCACTGGACTTGAGTCAGGAAGACCTGAGTTCAAATCTAGCCTACTAGATGTGTGATCCTGGGCAAGTCACTTAACTTATGTCTGCCTTAATCCACTGGAGAGGAATTGGCAAACCACTCCAGTATTTTTCCAAGAAAATCCCATGTACAGCACTGGCATGCTACAGTCCATGAAGTCATGAAGAGTTGGACACAATTGAACAACAACAACAATAATAATCATAATTACTAGCCATCATTTTACAGAAACCTCATTTATTCTTGTGTAATAATTTCAGAGTGCAATAATTATGGTAATAGGGAGTAAGGCATAGTGGATAGAAAGAGAGCCTAGGAATAGAGACTTATGTCTAAGCACTGCCTCCAACATACTTACCAAAATATGACCCTGGACAGATCACTTAACCTCTTAGTGCTCCCAGACAATTCTATTAAACATATAAGCTGTCGAACAACTTGAATTGTTAGAGTCTGCACAACATACAATGAAATCAGAGGTCCATCCCCCCCAGTAAGAAAGTGTGTTTTTCTAATGAAAATGAAAGAGCTTTGTAGATATAAAGTACTATATAAAATAAAG